TCAGCCGATCTCCACTCTAGCGCTCCAGTCGCTGCGTCGCAACTTCAAACTGCCCATCCAGCGGCTAGCTACTTGCCTACGGTTCTTGCTCCCCAATCCGATAATCCCCATCCGACCACACTTATCTGCCCTCAGCATCGCCACGTCGTACCTTTAGCCGGTCACCACTCCCCATTGACCATCTCACGGTTCTCAACTTCTCAGTCCTTAATCCGGCAATCCCCATCCAACCATCTCCATTGGCCATCAGCATCCAATCTTCTCTGACAGCCTAGGTAAGCTCAATCTGCTTTTCTTTCCTTTTATTTATCCATTATTTCATTTTATTGTTATTTTATCTTTGTTTCATTGTGTGTAAATATGTTTGTGAATTCTTGGATCAATTAGTTGTGAATTGTGTTTTTGAATTGTTGGATTAATCAGTTGTGAATTGTTGTTTGTAAATTGTTGTTTGTTGGTCTAAATTTTTAATATTTTGTAATTATGTTTATGTTATTTGAATATCAATCTGTTGAAAACTGTATAAATTTGGATGATGATGCGAATATTTTGAATGAGAATGAAATCCCTCCCAATCTCATGTATCCGAATCTGAACAATTGAGTAAGAGGGCAAAAAAAGAAACTTCAAATGTTTGTAATTATTTTACTAAAATAGGCAAAAACCAAGATGGAGTACAAAGGCAACTTGTAATGGATGTAAAACGGAGTATAAGGTTGGCCCTAAACCTGGTGGCTCTAATTATGGCACTTCACATTTACGTCGTCACATTGAAGTTTGTAAATCCATTTCATATTTTAATCCACATCAAATGCTTTTGGATTATGAAGGGAGATTAAAGGCTAGAAAATTTGATCCTAGAATTTCACGTGACATGCTTGCTGAAGCCATAATTAAGCATGACTTGCCTTATGCTTTTGTTGAATATGATAAGATTAGAGCTTGGGCTAAGTATGTAAATCCAGATATAGTCATGCATTCTAGAAACACTATTGTATCTGATGTTCAGAGAATTCATTTGAGAGAGAAAGAAAAACTTAAACAAGCCATGGCCAAGGTACCTAATAGAATTTGTTTAACTTCTGATGTATGGACAGCATCTACTTCTGAGGGCTATATTTGTTTGACTGCTCACTTTGTCAATGAAAATTGGAAGTTATGTAGCAAGTTACTCAACTTTTGTCGTATGCCTCCTCCACACACTGGAGTTGAATTAGCTGCCACTGTATTTGATTGTTTGAAAGAATGGGGAATAGATAGAAAAATTTTCTCTCTTACTCTAGATAATGCTTCTGTTAATGATAACATGCAAGCTATCTTAAAAGGCCATCTTCAGTTGCAAAGTAGCTTGATTTGTGATGGTGAATTTTTTCATGTGCGTTGTTGTGCTCATATATTAAATCTTATTGTTCAAGAGGGCTTGAAAGTAGTGAATGAAGCATTGTTTAAATTAGGGAGAGTGTGAAATATGTAAAGGCATCGGATGGGAGGATGAAAAGTTTCAAGATGTGTTCAACCGTTGGTATTGATGTAGGTGTTGGGTTACGTTTAGACGTGTCAACTAGATGGAATTCAACATATTTGATGCTTGAAAGTGCAATCAAATATCAAAAAGCTTTTGCTAGCCTCCAATTTGTTGATAAAACTTATAAATATAATCCATCTGATGAGGAATGGGGGAGAGCAATGATAATTTGTGAATTCTTGGAGCCCTTTTATGAGACTACAAACTTGATATCCGGTTCATCTTATCCAACTTTCAACTTGTATTTCATGCAAGTTTGAAAAATTGAATCGATTTTAAATGAGAATTTGTATGATGAAGATGAGGTTATGAAGGATATGTCTCAAATGATGAAAATGAAATTTGACAAATATTGAAAAGATTATAGTGTAGTGCTTGCATTTGGAGCTATTCTTGACCCAAGGATGAAGCTTGATTTTTTAAAATTTTGCTATTCTAAGATTGATGCTTCTACTTGTCATGAAAAGTTAGAAAATGTGAAGACAAAGTTGTACGAGCTTTTTGAACAATATGCAAGTAACACTTGTGCATCAAGTACATCATCTCACTCAATGAGTAATTTGCCTAAGCAAGTCGAAAGTGGAACTAAACCCAAGGGATTAAAGATCTTTAGTGTAAGTTTTGTATCTTTCCTTAATCTTCTTACATGAGAATTTATGTTACTTTATTTATGTTTTGATAATTTTTTTGTCTATGTATTTAAAAATGGTAGGAGTTCAAAATGTTTCAAAATGAAACAATTTCTATTGCTAGAAAGTCTGAGTTGGATGTTTATTTAGATGAGGCAAAGCTTGATTATGAAGTGTTTGAAGACTTGGATGTGCTTAATTATTGAAGGGACAATGCTAAGCGTTTTCCTGATCTTTCTGTTATGGCACGAGATGTATTGAGCATTCCGATTACTACAGTAGCATCAGAGTCTGCTTTTAGTATCGGTGGTCATGTTCTCACCAAGTTTATAAGTTCCCTCCGTCATGAAAACGTTCAAATGCTTGTCTGCACGAAAAATTGGTTGCATGGCTTTTCTTTAGCTGCCGATGGTATTGTTTATTTTATATATTTCAATATCTTTAATCTTTTCTTGTTAAATTAATAATTTTAGTTAAAATTCAAACTCATTATATCTTTTTCTTTTATGACAATGAATATTAGATGATAATGATGAGGACTTGGAGACATCATTGCTGTCCAAAGAAGACTCAAATGTTTTGGTTGAGGATGAAGATTGAGAAAAACATTAATTAATCTTGAAGTTTATGAATATTTGATTATGTATTTATGTAGTTATGTTGATGGGATTGTAGTTTGTGTAATTGTATTAAAGATTGAAAATTTAAAATTTTATTTATGTTTGATGTAATGTATTTGCTTATTTATGTTTAGTGTAATTTATTTGTTTGTTATATGTTTTTATTATTTAATTTATGAACTAAATCATAATATAGTTATATTTATTTCACTAAAATAATATTTTTTGAAAAAAAATGGGCTAGCCCGGCCCAGCCCATGGGTTAGCAAGGGATGGGCTGGGTTGAGAATTTCGTAGCCCATATAAAATATGGGCTGGCCCTGCCCAACCCATATTTTTTTAGCCCACAAGGGCTAGGGCCTAGCTGGGCCGGGCTGGCCCATATTGACAGGTCTAATTAAGGACCCTTTCATATTCTTTAGAGGCACTTCTGATGACATTCCATTTGAGTCTCTTACTTAAGTTATCCACGAACACCATGTGGAGGTTATCCAACTACCTTCTACCGCAATGTTCTTGCCTTTGATTACCTTTGCCCCTGTCTCCCATGCTGCCTCTTATCTCTTCTATTAGAGCCTTGCCCAATTCTCGCTTTTGATAATTAGTTGGAGGTATTATTATAACTACAGAGGGAATCCTACTATAAACAGTAGTGAGCAATAAATCATCCAATAATATTAAAATGTACCATAGGAATAGTGATTAATTGGGCATAGACACAAGCACCCCATTCTTGTTTATCTGAAAAGTTACATTTAAAGACGTCTTGCCAGCTGGTAGGATCATTGGGATTCCCTTTCTAGTAAGCATGAGGTTCCCTTCCTTCCCATCACATTCTTTTGTTGCCTTCCATTATGTCATTTAACAAGTGTAGCCATGGCTTCATGTTGATCTTTAGCCTAATAAAAGAGTTTGATAATTTTGTCATACCATGGTAAGTGTCATGGAATTGACTTGGTTAGTGCAAAACATAATTAATCACTTAACTTTATTGTATGTTTGAAGTTTTTACGTCAATAACTCTTTTACATACTAAAAGTAGAACGAATAAAACTTAAGAAAAGTAACATAAACACATGCTTTGAAGCCATTTTCTAATTTTCTAGTTCTATGTTCTAACAATAATTATAATATTTTTGCCTTATTGGGACTAATTGTAGTTTTGTATTTTTCTCTGATAGTTTGGCATCTCTAGGTGTTGTATTGGTCATTATTTCAAATTGTCTAATTTATAATATGAATTGTGAAGCTCCTGTAAGCGCATCTATATTAATAATAATAATAAAAAAACTCACTCCAAAAACAAATTTTCATAATTGAGTTTCAACTTTAGCCAAATAACATGGCTCGTCAATCCATTAAACGTGTTGGGAAATTTCATTTTCAACTCCTATTTTTCATTGGTCAATTATAATAAAATATTAATTAATTAATGTTACTACTTAATCAATTAATTTATTGAATTAATCGATTAAATGCCTTTCTTTCATTTTATTTTGAAAATGAAAAACTATGGTGCTTTAAAACCCACAGCTAGATAATCACAAGTACCTGTTTCTTGGACAAATTATGACGGTAAAGGAAAAAAAATAAAAAAAACTATGAATTAAATAGACGATGGGCATGCATCCAAAAAATTAAAATTGCAAATTTGTGGATATATTAGATGGGCATTGGAAAGTATAAGTGAAGGGCATCAACGAAGAAGGGAGGAAGAAGGGAAAAAACTCAAAACAAATATATAATAACCTAAAAATAAAAAGGAAAATAGACACATGGTAATTGGAATAGAATTGGAATAAGCCAATTTGAAAAAAACAAAATGTCCCATTTATACGTTTTCCTCTGCCAGGTCTAATTCAAAGTAAGCGCTCAAGTTTGAATCTGTCGCAACACCTGAGTTTGCTCCACGTCTGATACGGGTGAAAGAGAGATCTGGAATATCGCTGGCAAGGCTTTTAATGGAGTTGGAGATGAGCTTCATGAGTCAAAGGTTTTTGTTGTGGTTGAACAGTGTTTTTCTTCCTATTGAATTTGATTAATTGGTTTATAATTAAGATACCTACAAGAAAACAAATCAACTGTTCCATGTACTTACACGTAGAAATGGTATGCAGGCTTGAGCGAACTTTTCAACAGTCTAAACTTCAACACGTCTTTAAGCAATGTAATTTCCCTATATATATATATATATATATGCAATATATATTCTTTAGGCTAACACAATCCAACAATAGAATAAAAGTCAATTAATGGCTTCTGTTGTTCCTCTTTTCCTTTCATTTTGCCTATTGTTGCTGCTCCCATGTCTTGTTGTTGCTCAAACTGCTGGTACTGTCAGCCTGGGCACAGTAATCATTGCAAGTGATAATGCGGAACCTTGGCTTTCTCCTTCCACTGACTTTGCATTTGGATTTCACCAACTTGAGGAGAAAGATCTTTTCTTACTTGCCATATGGTATTACCAAATTCCAGACCGTACCATAGTTTGGTATGCAAATGGAGATAAACCTGCTCCAAGAGGATCAAAGGTGGAGCTAACAGCTGAGCGCGGGCTGGTTCTCAGTAATCCTCAAGATGAAGTGATGTGGAGATCAAATTGGGCCACTGGTGAGGTTGCCCATGCTGTGATGAATGATACAGGGAATTTTGTTGTTTTTGACAGAAATTCTCGTCCATTATGGGAAAGCTTCAAGTATCCTACTGACACAATGTTACCAACTCAGATAATGGAGATAGATGGGTTGCTTACTTCTAGGCAAAGGGAGAACAACTTCTCACGAGGAAGGTTTCAGTTTCGCTTGCTTCAGGATGGAAATGCAGTTCTCAATTCCATAAATTTGCCATCCAACTACACTTATGATGCGTATTATATCAGCGTTACTTATGATCCAGGAAATAGTTCAAATTCCGGTTACCTAGTGATCTTCGATGAAGATGGCTACTTGTACGTAAGGAGAAGAAACAACGTGAAATTTTTCCTCACCCCAGATGATATTGTTCCTTCCAGGGACCATTACCACAGAGCAACTCTCAATTTCGATGGGGTTTTCACCATATCTCAGCATCCAAAGAATTTTGATGGCAACCAAAGCTGGGCTGTTATCAGGACGTTTCCAGATAATATCTGCATCAGAATGAATGGGGCTATGGGGAGCGGAGCTTGTGGGTTCAACAGTATCTGTACGCTAAATAATAATAAAAGGCCAACATGTGGATGCCCAACAGGTTATTCTGTACTTGATCCGGATGATAACTATGGCAGCTGCAAACCGGATTTCCAGCAAGGATGTGAGGCTGATGGACAGATTTCCCCAGAAGATATATACAACTTAGAGGAGCTGCCTAGTACAGATTGGCCACAAAATGATTATGAGTTGCTGAAGCCTTGCAGTTTAGAGGACTGCAGAACATCTTGTCTGAATGATTGTCTATGTGTTGTCGCAGTGTTGAGAGGTGACAGTTGTTGGAAGAAGAAACTACCGCTTTCAAATGGTAGACAGGACAGAGAAGTAAATGGAAGGGCTTTCCTGAAAGTAAGAAAACCTGAATTCACTCATCAAAATCCTCAACCGTCATTTCCCACCACGAAAAGGGAACAGGGTACAGTGATAACTGTGGTGTCAGTGCTCTTGGGTGGTTCTGTGTTTGTCAACTTAATATTAGTTGGGCTGTTATGTGTAGGATTATATTTCTTCTACCACAACAAGCTCACAAGATTTCACCGCAATGAAAATGCCATGCAAAGCAGTTTGCGGCATTTTACTTTCACGGAGCTTGAGGAAGTAACAGATGGATTCAAAGAAGAATTAGGAAGGGGATCTTTCGGCATAGTATACAAAGGGCTAATACAAAATGATCCTACAGATCCAACTGCAATTGCGGTTAAGAAGTTAGACGGATTTGTTCAGGACAGGGACAAGGAATTCAAAACTGAAGTGAGTGTGATTGCTCAAACACATCATAGGAATCTTGTCAAATTACTTGGATATTGCCATGAGGGGCAAAACCGAATGCTGGTATATGAGTACTTAAGCAATGGCACTTTAGCAAGCTTCCTCTTTGGGGATCTAAAACCCAGTTGGAATCAGAGCACGCAGATCGCCTTGGGAATTGCAAGAGGACTATTTTACTTGCATGAAGAATGCAGCCCCCAAATCATCCATTGTGACATAAAGCCGCAAAACATACTTCTTGATGATTACTATGATGCTCGGATTTCTGACTTTGGATTAGCAAAGCTTTTAAGGATTGATTAATCCCATACTAATACTGCTATTAGGGGAACAAAAGGGTATGTAGCACCTGAATGGTTCAAGACCATGCCAGTAACTACGAAGGTCGATGTGTACAGCTTTGGCGTCTTGCTGCTAGAAATAATTTGTTGTAGAAGAAGTGTAGAGATGGAGATTGGAGTAGAGAAAGCAATTTTGACAGATTGGGCCTGTGATTGCCTTCGTGAAGGCAATCTAGATGCTCTGGTGGACTATGATGTGGAGGCCTTAAATGACAGGAAGAAGCTGGAGAGATTTGTGATGGTTGCTATTTGGTGCATTCAAGAAGACTTGTCTCTCAGACCCACAATCAAGAAAGCTATGCTGATGCTTGAAGGAATAGTTCAAGTTTCTGCTCCTCCATGCCCATGTCCATTTAATTCCATTACCTGAATTTCTTACTGCTATTTTGTGCCTTGCTTCATTGACAATAATCTACTAAGTAACTCACTTGTTAGTCTTATCATTTGGTCATTTGAAGTGATTGTTTTGTATGTTATTGCATTGATATGGGTTTAATTTATTTCACATGTAAGTCTTAGAGCAACAACTTGCACATTTATGAAGTATGATTCTGTATATTAAACACCGTTTTTTATTTCCCCTTCAACAGGATGCATGCTTTTTATAAATTTTTGTAGAATATTTTTCCACATTTAATCAAACTCGTCATTTTGAAATCTTTATTATAGCATTTTGATTCTTGGCGTGCCCCTTGGGCAACATAGGGCCATACCCTACAGACTAATGAGTAGTCGTGAAGCACCGGCGACAAAACTCTAATAGCAGGTTTGGTTAGCCATTCCCCCTCTAGGAATAAATGTTCCTTCCTTTGGTTCCCACGTACTCCAAGGAATAGACATTCCTCTTAAATAAGTTTTCCTCAAAATAAGTTAAAATCAAGGAATAGCTAAAACCATGGTTTGAGGAAAAGCTTTGAAAAATGATAAAAACAAAAATATTTTTTTAGAAGTTTGAAAAATTGTATATTATATATAGTAAAAAATTATATGTTAAATTTAAAAATTAATTGAAATTATTAATATTTGAATCGTAATAATATTAAAATTTTAAATAAAATAATAATATTTTAAAATATTAATGAGTAAATTATAAATAAAATATTAATATTGAAATTGAAATTGAAATTGAAGTTATTAATATTAATATAAAAAATTCAAATTTTTAATTGTTTATTATAAAAATAATATTTTAATTTTAAAAATTAATTAAAATTATTTATATTTTACTCATAATACATTTAAATTATAAATAAAATATTAATACTTAAATGATTAATCATTAACATTTTAAATAAATTATAAATTATTAATATTTAAAAAATAATATAAAATAATTATATATATAATAAAATATATTTTTATCTTTTTATACTTTATTTCTTTCTTATATTAAAGTTATTTTTACTTATCAAATATTGTAAAAAACTATAATAATTATTTTTATTATATTAAACTACACAATAATTATTTTATTTTATTTTTATGTATTCTATTAACCAAAACGTATAGGAAGAGGTAAAAATCAGTGGGAACCCTTGAAACAAAAAAGAGACACCAAAGAAAACATCGAGAAGGTTGACTACCAGCAATTTTAGACCACTCTGATAAGAAAAGTAAGCATTCAAGAATTATTATATTTGACCGTCTTCATCACCTTCCCCTTGAAGTCAATGACTTGTAGAAATAAATGGATGCAGGGGCTAGGAATAAACTAATACCTGAGTCTAACTTACTACGCAAGGCAACCACAATATTGGACTTACACTGCCTCTCTCTTGGATACCAACAGTGGATCATTTTCCTTTTCTATTTTTTACTTTCCCCTTTCCAAAAAAGTTTTCATTGGTCTTTAAAGAGTTGGAGTTATCTCCATTCAAGGCTGAAGTGGCGAGGAGACTTCATCTTAGAAAAAGTTGCAAGGAAGAGTCAAGATTGTCCAGTTATCATGTAGGCATCATGCTTTCGTTGCTATTGGATTGGAATTAATTTATAATTTAGTCCCTGCAAAGAAATCTGCAACAAGGAAACGCCTCCCCAACGAATACCTGCAACTTCATTTATTCTTCAACCTTTCTATTTGATAATGATCCTTGCACACCATGGATTTTAAAACTCCCTATTCTCTCTGCTTCTTGTTGCTTTTTCTGCTGTTTACATTTTTCACTGGTGCTCAATTTTATGAGAACATATCATTGGGTTCATTCCTCACAGCACGTGAAGATACCTCGTTCTGGGCATCACATTCAGGTGAATTTGCTTTTGGTTTCAAGCAGATTCAGAATGGAGACTTCATACTCGCCATCTGGTTTAACCAAATACCTGAAAAGACCACTGTCTGGTCAGCCAATAGAAACAGACTAGTGCAGAGGGGATCCACAGTTCGGCTAACTAAACATGGTTGCCTGGTGCTGATTGATCAAACAGGTCGACAGATATGGAGTGCTTATGGTGGTACAGAAGTTGCTTATGCGGCCATGCTTAATACTGGGAACTTCATTCTGGCAAACCAAAAGTCCGCCAATCTCTGGGAGAGTTTTCAGTATCCAACAGACACATTATTGCCCACACAGACATTTAATCAAGGCAGCAAGCTCGTTGCTTGTTACTCGGAAGCAAATCCTTCCACAGGAAGATTCCTGTTGACTCTAGAATCTGATGGAAACCTTGTGCTTTACACTACAGCTTTCCCGGTAGATAGTCCTAATTATCCCTACTGGTCTTCTGAAACTTTTGACGGTAGTTCTCATGTGATTTTCAACCAGTCTGGCTACGTATACCTTGTTGAGAAGAATGGAAGCATGATCAATGTATTGTCAGGCGGAGCTTCAACAGAAGACTTCTTTCAGAGAGCCATTCTCGAATATGATGGAGTTTTCAGACACTACGTCTATCCAAAGAGTAATGGCTCAACTTCAGGGAGGTGGCCGCTGACCTGGTCCCCTTTGTCGTTCATACCTTCAAATATTTGCACCAGTATTACTGGAGAGGTAGGATGTGGAGCTTGCGGGTTCAACAGTTACTGCACAATAGGAAATGAACAAAGACGAAAATGCCAGTGCCCTCAAGGTTATAGCTTCTTTGATCCAAATGATGTAATGAAGGGATGCAAACAGGACTTTGTTCCACAAAGTTGTGATAATGTATCACTGGAGGCAGAGCTTTTTGAATTTCTAGAAATGCAGAATACCGACTGGCCACTATCTGATTATGAACATTTTGAATTAGTCTCCGAGGATTGGTGCAGGAAAGCTTGCTTGAGTGATTGTTTCTGTGTTGTTGCTATCTTCAGAGGCACAGACTGCTGGAAGAAAAAATTTCCCCTTTCGAATGGCCGGATGGACACCAGTGTTGGTGGTAAAGCTCTGATCAAAATAAGGAAAGATTCTTCTAATTTGCAGCCAGCAGATCCAGATGAAGAAAAGAAACATCATTCGACTTTGTTCATAATCGGCTCAGTGTTGTTTAGTAGCTCTGTATCCTTAAACTTTCTTCTCCTAATTGCAGCAGTTATGAGTGCTTTCCACTTCTATAATAGGAAAAACAGTACATTTCAACAATACCCAGTCATGCCAGGCATAAATCTTCGGTGTTTCACTTATAATGAGTTACAGAAGGCCACAAACGGATTCAAGGAAGAATTGGGCAAGGGTGCTTTTTCCACAGTTTATAAAGGTGTTCTAGCATTAGATGATAAAATCTTCATTGCAGTGAAGACGCTAAACAATATGGTGAGAGAAAATGACAAGGCATTCAAAACAGAAGTAACTGCAATTGGGCAAACAAATCACAGAAACTTAGTCCAACTTCTTGGTTTCTGCAATGAAGGGCAACATCGCCTTCTTGTTTATGAATTCATGAGCAATGGCTCATTGAGAGATTTTCTGTTCAGAGGTTCCACGCCCAATTGGTACTTGAGAATACAAATTGCTTTAGGAACTGCAAGAGGACTGTCTTACTTGCATGAAGAATGCAGCACACAGATCATACATTGCGATATCAAACCTCAGAATGTACTTTTAGATGATGCTTTGACAGCAAGGATTTGTGATTTTGGATTAGCCAAGCTTTTGAAGGCAGAGCAAACTCAAACAAGCACTGCAATTAGGGGCACTAGAGGATATGTGGCACCAGAATGGTTCAAGAACTTGCCTATCACAGCCAAGGTAGATGTTTACAGCTTTGGCATTTTGTTTCTAGAGTTAATTTGCTGCAGGAAGAACTTTGAACCAGAGGTCAAGGATGAAAATCAGATGGTTCTAGCTGATTGGGCATATGATAGCTACAGAGAAGAAAATGTACATGTCTTAGTGCAGGATGACCAAGATGCAATTTACGATATAAGGAGGCTGAAGAATTATGTGATGATTGCAATCTGGTGCATTCAAGAGGATCCTGCACTAAGACCAACCATGAAGAAAGTTGTACAGATGATAGAAGGAGCGGTCCAAGTTCCTGTTCCTCCAGATCCCTGCTCATCTCAGTACACAAGTAGTTCCTTTGATATGAGCAGCATCCGTTAAATTTGGGGTGCTTTCACGTTAAATGTTGCAGAACCCTAGGCAATAGTGTAAACCTGTCGCAATGAGTATAAAAATCAGTCTTTGTCGTAAATGATTATATGCGGGTTAAAGTCTTCTGGTGATTCAGAAGGGCAGCACAACTGAAACAAAGCAACTAGTAATCTATATGTAGCGTGCTGGGTAGGCATTTTAGTTTTCGATATTGTCTATTTGCGTTCTTATACCTCAACTTTAATTTGCTATATTGTTGACCAATTACTGTTTTCAATGTTTTAATTGATCCTAAAGCTATTGGGCTATAACTCGTGGCAAATTCTAAGAAATTTCATTCGGATGGCTCCACGATGCTTGGTCATGGTTACCGACCAATGGAGAGAAATACCAGTCAGGCCGATTTTTGAGACCCAAAAACAGTCCGTACAATCACAATGGCAAAGACCGTAAATAAATAAAAAGCCAAGGATATTGTAAGTGGTAGGAGTGGTTTTCAATCAATCCCTAGCCTTCCATAACTTTACCTAAGCATAGAATCTAAATTTAATAAGAAAGTAAATTATATTTGAATTTTAGTGCTAATGTCAACCCCTTTTCCAATGTTTTAAAATTTTGAACATACATGTACGAATGCTTTTATTATGTTGTCTAATCTCTTTCTCAATGATTTAATCAAAACTATTCTTCATTTTATGAGTTTTACATATACACTCCTATCTCATTTAACTTGCCACATGTTAACTTTTTGTTACTAAAGAATTTAGGTACTCGAATTTTTTAAATTTTGACTATAATTCCACATAGATATATTAGTATTTAAAATGGATAGTCCCTCTCAAAAGAATATCTTTCGTTGAACACATTAGTCTAACTATTAATTAATGTTAATATTTTCATTAGTTTGATGACATGATAATATTTTTCGGACAATTTTACCTTTTATTAATTTTAAAAATTATCACACTATATAAACTATAATTTTTCATTTTTAAATTTTTTTTCTCTCTATTGTTCTAATTTTCTATCCATACAAATATACGTATGAAATAGATAATATAATAGCAGATAGACTATCGATCCCATAGATAATTGATATAAAATTTTATTAAGTACTAAGATTAAAATAATTTAATCTTATTTAAATAATAAAAAATGGAGAACTAATTAAACTAAAAATTAATTAACAAAAACTAACTAACTAATAATTAAAAATCCAAAGAAGAATATAATTCGATAAAAATCAAATCAAACAAGTTTAGGATCACAATATTCCTCATACTTTTTTTAAATTTTATCTCTCTTCTTTGACTTATTGCAATGAGTTGAATCGCTTTCCTAGAGTATTCAATTATTTATAAAACTCTCTCAATACTCTTTCTGTATCTTGTACACAAATCAATTTATTCATCCAAGCAAATAAAAATGATCATATGCTATTCCAATTTTAATCTACTCTAAACTCCATTTCTCAAGTTATGCTTAGGTTTGTAGATAAGTTTAATTAGTGGTCAGACAATTAAAAATATTAAGAACAAATTGAAATAAATAATTCAATTTCATTGAACATAAGTAAGAAAGAGATTAAAAATTTAGATTATATGTGAGTTCAATTGCAATCTTAGGAAAAAAATTTAGCTACTCATAATTACAATAATAAATAAAAACATATGAAGAGTAGCCATCAAAGGTAACAAGAATAATAAAAGCTAAGGAAGAAGAAAATAAACGAATTTTGCAATTTGATCATCAATCTTCAACATCAACTTCTAACTCTTCAAATCTCTCTTAGGAATTGTCTTTTTACGACTAACTTCTCCTTGAACTATGTATTTATTCTCTAAATTTAACCTAATTTTCCCTAAACTAAAACACTTCAACTTAATGACTCTTAATTTAGGCTTAGAATAGGTGTAGAGCCCATAAGATTTAAGTCAACCCATAGTCATTTTCTTTCTTGTAGCAATTTCTTTGAATTTTCCTTTTCAACACCACGACACTCAATTGGCTTCATGCCTTCCCTACGTGACTGCTATACTCTGTCAATTTCCAATGTGACTTTTCCCATCTTTTAGGCAAAATTGGGCAAAGTGATCCACATAAAAGTTATAGCTGTCTCTTAGTTTTCCAATAGTTTAAGACTCGCATCATTTGGACATTTGGAGTTGAAGTTGTGCTCAAAATACTTCAACATGTATGAACATGACCTTGGCTCTTTAAACACTTTTCTTCACCAAATTGAGCCGTATTCCTTTAGAGTCTTACAAAAGCATAAAAACTAATAAATAATAACTAAACTAAGATAAATTAACATAAAATAAAATAACTTAATAAAAACAAACTAATTAGAATAACAACTAAAAATAACTAAATCCTAACCTAAACTCAAAAACTTAGTTCACTTTTAAGAACAAATTGAGATAAAAATAATTCTACAAGATATAATTATCACTCTCTCATTCAAAAAGGAAAAAGGAAATTCTCTCCACCTTACTTATGACATTTGTGTGGTCAAAGTGCCATATCCTACTTCGGTTGGATCTCCCTAAAGGAAATGCAAGATCAGTTCTCTTTTAAGGAAGTGTAACCAGATTGGCGCTCCCCTAGGGGAGTATGGCTAGGTCGGTGCTCCTTTAAGGAACGTGGCCAGATTTTGCACTCACCTTGGGGTGATCTAGTAGGATCTAGCATTTAATGGTTAGATTTGGTTGTAGGGTGACCAACCAATGTAAAGGAATGCCACTGGTTGGCTTAAGAAAAAGGAAAATAGTGAAAAAGAATGAAGAAAAAAGAAGTGTACTTTAGACATTTCATGTTTACCCATTAACGTCGCATATATGTTTGGGACAGATTGTCTGTTCAAATACCAATGGACCCACATGGAATTACGATCAAAACTAGAAGATTAGGGTATTTTATCCATAATTTTATAATTTTGTAATTATTTTATTTTATGTTGGTTATTTATAAAATTGTGAAATATTATATTTTTTTAAAAAAAGGAAGAACTTTGAATGTTATGATTTTTACATATATATTCTGTAAAATTTAATTACATATTTAAAATAATAGAGGTTAAAATTTAAAATTCTTCATCCACAAAAGTCAACATTTAATAACTTTATTGAGATAAAGAAATTATATAGGCATGATACTTTTAAAATCCTTTAAACTGTATTAAAAAATTCAATTAAAATTTTATTTTTTATTACGTTCAATTAAGTCTATGTATATTTTATGTCAAATAAGTCTTTATGACTTATGGTTGATTAAATACCGCTAGTCAAAATATTATTTGTCAGTTTACATCCATGTGGTGCTAATGTGACACTAACGTAAAGGGTAAAAAATGTCTAGTGACTACCATGTCACATAAACCTGTCATGTCAATATCACATGGTATAAAATGACAAGTGATGTTTTGACTAATAACAATTAATCGATAATTAATCAACCATTAGTCGTAAAGACCTATTTTACTCAAAATAAAAGTACAATTACTTAAATAAATGTAATATAAAAATAAAGATTTATTTAAAACTTTTTAAATAATTTAAGGGCTTTTTAGATATTATATAATTATAAAATATGTTTAATTTTTCATTAGACAAGTATAGGCTTTCTCATGTCATATTGCAAAACAATTGTTCAAATATCATTACATATTTTGTTCACTTTTGGCCATTTTTCTTAATTACTAGTAATTCATAATTTCAAATTATATTGGATTATATCTGATATACTCTTCTTTCTATCATTTATGATTAATGATACTCTAGCCATTCTTTTATTTAGGATGATTTTTTAACTCCTAAAAATAAGTTGTTTTAAAAAATAACTATCTTTTTAATTTTAATCGTTTTTAGTTAAGAGAAAAGATTTTTTTACAAAAATGCCCTTAATGAAATCTCTTTATATTCAAATTACATGATCTAAAATTTGAATCGGCTTAAAAATGGCAACTAGAATAGCTCCACCAAGAGGAAGTGCAGCTACAACTACAAGCATGAAGAAAAGAAGAATGACAAAAGGTGCGGCTTTTGGAGGGGTTGTCAGGACTATGCTTTAATTTACATGGATGATTGACCGGGGCTCAAGATCTCCCCAAATTTCATGCTTATCATGAGCATTGGTTTCATTGCTTTTGCTGCCATTCTCCATGTCATGGGCAAGTTGTACTTAGTTTGCAAAGAGGCTTGGAAAGTGTATTAACATTAGCAAAATTAAGTTCCAATCTGCTGATTTTCAATTTTGCTTTGATGGATTCAATTTCTCTCTCCTTTCTTTATAATATTAGTATATTTTAATTTTCTTTCACTTAAAAAATAAATAAAATAACCAAAAACATAATTATCCAAATTAGAAGATTTTGGATAATATCTTTTTGTCAAAATTCATTTTATTCTAACGACGTTGAATAATTTTTCAATACATATTCTTGTTCATATTAAATTCCTTTTTAATTTTAAACTTTTATCTTTATGGAAAATACAAAGATACAGAACAAATTACACTCTATGTTTAAAATATATTGTTATTACATGCTTGTTTAAAAATATTATTACAATTGAAAAAAAGTTATTACGTGTTTTAATTCCAAGAGTTTATGTTGCAATGAAATGCAAATGAGCAATTTACACATCATATTTAATAACAGCAAAGAAAAACAAAACCACACTGCAAGCCTAAATAGATGTTATACACTTCAACAAAAAATGTTACATACCAAAACTTCAACAACAAATGTTACATGCAATGGTCAAAGCTTTAGCACCAAATGTTACATGCTAAGGCCAAAGGTTCATCATTACATGTTACACGCTAAAACTAAAGCAAAAGATGTTACATATTAAAACTTCAATAACAGATGTTATATGCTAAGGTCAAAGTTTCAACACTAGATGTTACATGCCAAAACCAAAGCTTTAGATGTTACATGCTAAGACTAAAGCTTCAGCACTAGATGTTATACACCAAAGCCAAAGCAGAAGATGTTACACGCCAATGTCAAAGCTTCAATACTAGATGTTACTACCAAGAGCAAAGTTTCAGCACCAGATGTTACATGCCAAAGCTTCCTTCTTCCTATTAATATTACATGCTAAGGCATAAATCACTTTGTTACATGCTAAGGTATATTTTACTAAACTTGAATAACTGAAAAACTCAACACTAATAAACCTAAGAACTTGTTGTTACTCACCATGCTATACTTTTTGGTCTGTAGATTGACGATAGAGGGTTTTGTGAATGTAAACTAATAAATTCAAGAATATGTTATTGTCTTCCATATTATACTCTTTAGTCTGTAGATAGAC